GCTAGATATCCAGAATGAACAAGCAACAAGTGTTCCAAACACCGACAGATAATTAATTAATTAATTAGATAGAAGACCAGCATAATAGTCAGACAGATGTCAACAGAGATTCAAATATAAAGAGGTGAAAAGTATTGGCCAGCTTAGGGTCATTATGCATGGTGCCAAAAGATTACAGACATGCCATACTGATGCAAGTCAGAGGTACCAAGACAACCAGCAATAGGGGCATGTTGACCAACAAATACTGAATCATCTCATGCCAAAGAGATATCAGCACATACCCACATGCCACAAAATGATGATACTTTATGGTCATTGCATCAGCTCTTGCATATATAGCACATGTTTGATGCCAAATTTCTAAAGTGATGAATACTATTAGATCTATAAGAAGTTGGCAATACTTCTCATTATGGTTTTCCTTACTGGTCTATAGCGATGTACCGACCAACTATCGGTACGGTATGTATCAAGCATACCGAGCGTACCGACACATGATATGATGGGACGTACTGATGTACCACTCATACCGATCCCCTGTTAGACCGGTATGTACCGCCCATACCAAGCGGCACATCTTGGTATGACAAACCTTGTCTCAATCATTACATCACTCTTGCATATGTTGTATGGTAACTGATTTATTACCATGATAAAAATCATTAGATCTAGAGCTTAACATTACTAGGTCACCCAAAAAAAAAAGCAACATATGCCAAGGATCACAGTAATTTGACTAAATTTTTAAGTACGATGTGATAATTGTGCAAAACTTTACCTGAAGTTTTTCTAGAGTTTTTGACAATGATGAAAATATCCAGACGATGAAGGTTGCATCCAAAAGAGCAACAGGCAGCACCAGGAACAGCCTTGCTTTTCCAGAAAAGTCGTTGATGTTTCCCAAATGCTCAACAAGCTCAAGTGCTTCTGAGGCAACGAAATATACGAACCCAAGAAAAGCAACTCTTGAAGTTATCCCACCCAATGTTGGCCGGACAACGCCATATCCCATTGAAACTACCAAAAGCAGAAGGCGAGAAACAGTCTTTTTAACAGCAGTGAAAGTGACTGCCCAAATGGTTATGCCCATAGGTCTAGATCCAGTAGAATTAAAATTTCCATACTCAAAATACCAAAAAGCCATTTCACACATGCCTAGGGCAATTACAGCTGTGATGTGATAGTGAAGCTGCAAAGTATGCTTCCAGTATCGCACAAATTGTAGAAACCAGCAGAGACCAAGTAAAAGATATGCCAATGACATGAATCCATAGAATGTCATTAAGGGTGCCATTTTGCCAGGAAGATAGCCATGTGGATTTCTCCAAACTGTTCTACCTTTTATGATAGTGCCCTTTAGTTGCGGGTCACAAAACATAAAATAAAGGTAGTACATGCCAGTTTTTCTGATAGGAATAGCTTGAGTTACCATGGTGGTCTCTTCACTGCTACCATCAAAAAATGTCTGAATGCGTTTTGGCCAATCTGAGTTGTCCTGACTTGGACGAATTATTACTTCCCCTACCTTACAGAGATTCCGATCGTGAAGCTCACGCGTGCAGCATATAGCATCAGTGTTTAAGTATCTACCACCAATCTTGTCCCTGTCTTGGATTTCAACTACTATAGCTTCTACCAATCCGGTCTTTTGTTGCATATCACTATGCATGGATGCTGACTCTTTTGTCCGTCTGAATGTGACAGATTCAAACCTGAGGACAAATTTATACCAACTATTATAATGGGCTGCATTTTGGGAAAAAACTCATATAAATTAGAACTACATCTCATATATATCTAATGCAAAGACCTGATGTACCTACTTACAATCAAGTTCTTTTAACTGATGACAGTTCTACTTCCTGGCATGTACAAACTTCTTTTGTAATGTATAAATCACAGTTAGAATACTATAGGTTATTTAAAATTTTAAATATTATAAAAATTGAATATTCTCAATCAAACACCAAAATGCTGATACAGGATTGAAGGGCAAAATATTGTATTAACAAGCCTGATGAAGCAAGTAATAGAATCATCATATAAACTTTTATTATAACCCAGTCATTATGCGACTGTTTTAGTGCTTCCATTGTGTGCTTCAAGAACATTTGAGTACATGGAGAAACAACAAGATGCAGACAAGGTTTCCAACTTTTCAGATACAAGGAAGAAAGAAGTTGATAATAGCAGCTTGTAGAACAATATAAGTTTCTTCAAAAGTCAACAAAAATTGGAAAAGAAAAACAACTATTCTGTGAACTTCGTTTTTCTTTTGTTTGGTGTAGCTATTTAAGCAAATATGAGAAAACAAATAAAAATAAACACAAGATAGTAGAAATACTATAGATCTAGACTATATTTCTGAATGATATGTATACTCCAAATTAGAAAACTTGATTGCCACATAATAAAAAGAGTGCATGAGTCTTCCACCAATATAAATCTCCAGAGGGTCCATGCAGGTAGCTATACACGTGCAAGTAGAAAGACATTCCCTCTGACTCAAACCTTGGTCACCCAAGTTACACAAAGGCAAACTTACAATCATACCAAAGCTAGCCCTCTAATTGACCCAAACCATAATGTGTCCTGATTTCAAAAGAAATTCAACTAAACTGACAGAAAACCAGTCTTCTGTAGAGAGTTAAGAGTCAGAAGGTATCATATATACATTTTTGTAAGAGTCCCAATAGTACTTTATAGTGACGATGGTTGCATCGGTTTGGCACTCTGGCTTTTTACCTGAGCGACACAGAATGATAAATCGGCTACCAAATGCATTTATCCTAGTCAGTCAGCAACAATCGGTGCCATGAGGATGATCGATCAACTAAAACCCTATATGCATGTATGATGCTAAAATCTTATAGTTGAATCACACCAATAACCGCATTGCGCATTCTCCGCTCATCCCTCCAAAACATCAAAATGCTATTCTTTAAGCACCCATCAAAGCCCTGTATTTGAACAATTAATTCAACCAAAAGAACGGAATTCTTGAATACAAATTAACCAAATCAAGCAAGATAAAAGCAAAATTAAGGCGAGAATAGAGCAAACCGCATCGTAGCACGCTCAGATCAGATCAAAGATATGTCGTGAGAGATCGGAGGAGAGGAAGAGAGAGGGGGGCTCACTGGATGAAGGAATTGCCATCGGAGGCTGGGGCGGTGATGTTGACCTCGGCGGAGGCGTAGAGGCCCTCACTGCCGCCGTGGAAGAAGAAGGAGTTGGAGCGCGGGATGAAGGCGCCATTGTAGTATTCGTGGATCGAAGCCCCGGCGTGGTGGCAGAGAAGCAGCCCTAGCAAAAGCCCTAAGTGGAACGGATCGGGACGAAGACGAGGACGCATCTCCGGCCAACAATTTCCCCCTTCGGTTCCCGTGGGTTTATACCACTACAAATCTTTCAGTCGATGGATCGAACTAAGTTTTCTTAATCACAAACCAGTTGAATGAATAGCTCGCAAATAGAGGATCGTGGGAAACGCGTTCTCGTCTCAGGGAAACGTCGCTTGGGGGTTCAACAACGCAGTCTCTTAATGGGCTGCAGTCCAACAGCGTCGGCCCACCACTACAGCGTCTGTTTTGCCGACACGTACCCACCTTGCGGTCGAGATACACGATATATATATATATATATATATTGTGATTTATGAAATTCCTTTCATACCCTTCTTCCCTTCTCGTCTTCTCGGCTTTTCCCACTCCTAGAGCAAATGCAATCAGTCCACACCCTGGGCTTGCACACTACGGTGGAGTGCATCATAATATGGAGGCTGAACTGGCCAGCCTTCTCGGCGGTGTCGATCTTGTCCCGCCCCCGCGGTCGCAGCAGCTCGAAGTTCTGCACCAGCCGGCCGAGGACGATACCGATGATGGGTAGCGCGAGGACGATCCCAGGGCAGCTCCAGCGGTCGGCGGGCCCAAGGACAGGTACCGGAAGTCGTTTCCGCTGGGCTCCACCTCGGCCTCCTCCTCCAGGATGCGCTGCGCCCGGGCGGGACATCTCGGGCTTCCTCCACAGGGTGGGGTTGTTGGCGAGCCACCAGGCGTTGACCAGGATCTTGCTCTCGGCGGGGACATCGTAGCCGGCGAGCTTGGCGTCGTGACGACGGCCTTCTGTAGCGGAGGGCCTCCTTGACGACAGCCTAGAGGTCGGGCTCCGTGTCTTGGTACCTCCAAGGACGGCGTCGAGTTCCAGGTGATGCTCGCGCTGTCCCCGAAGGCTTCTTGCGCACGTAGATCTGAACGAAGTTGGGCTGATGACCTATGACATGTTTGGCTAATGCAAATCAAACTTCAATTCGACCCATCAAAGTTTCATATTAGATTCAGTCAGACATAATCTGAACTACAATTCTTCATGAATTAAAATGCAAGTGAAAAGGACATCAGAGGATGTTTGAGATGCGACTATGGAGACAGGCGAAATTAGAGGACAATCCTCCAATTTACACCAGGTGGGTTTGGCTGCATAATTGCGTAGAAATTTCCCGCGATTGTCGGAACTTCTGTTCCTAGCCGTTTCCCTCGCAGTAGACGCCTGCGTAGGTCTTCAGCCTCATCTTCCAGCGTTCTTCCCTCGTCAGTCGGTCAAAATATCGCCGGAGAGTTCCTTTGTCCTTGGAACTGTGCGTTAGACTTCTGTATCAATAGACCAAACGTCCTTTCTGGAGATCGAATTAAATCTTGGACGTAATCTGTATTGATATTGCTGTTCTATAGCTTGGGTATGTGATGATCGTGCATGCGGAAGACCGACTCTATAGAATACTCCGCGCGGTCAGCCGCAAACATGAGTTCAAGCAGGCTTGTGGACGAAGAAGGTCATCACAAAGACCCAAGAACGTGCCCCACGACTGCGACCAAGTCTTCTCTTCCCTTCCCAGCCCATTCAATACACTTTCCCTGCTCCTTAGCGTCTAGAATATGAGTCGCTCGATCTTTTTAATGCCCTCTTTCTATCTATATTTCCATGCAAATGAGTTCTACTGCTCCCCCATCTTCCCCTTCTTACGCTTTATCTGTGTTATGCCTCACTGACTCGGACCCAAAGCCATGGACGACATCCTGTCTCAAGTCTTTGACGCATGCAGGCTCGCCAGAGAACTGGAGACCAGCCTCCGCCTGTCCAACGTCCCGACCGATCCCCACTACCTCTTGGGCTCCTGCGAGGAGATCGTCGGCGCCTTCAACGAGGCCATCCGCCGGTTGCACGCCGGAAATCTGTCTTCCTACCCCTCCCAAATGCTCTTAGGGGAGGCCCCGGGTTCCCGGCTGGACCCCGGCGCCGGAGAAGGAAGCTCGCGCGGCACGGGTTACATGCAGGTGGCCAATGGTCTGAGAACACCGGTGGTGGGGGCGTGGGGGCTGGAAATCAACTCGGCCGCTCCCATGGGGCCCTCGAGCTATCCCGGCACACCGAATACGGGCGTGGAGTCATTCGTCGGCGGCGGCGGTGAGCCTCGATCGGGTGCGGAGAGACCGTTGTCCGGGCGGAGAGCCGACGGGTCTTTGCCGCACAGATCTCCGAGGACGAGGTGGAATTCAAACCTTGAAAATTAGATTCGTTCCCATTATTGCTAATTCAATCTTGGAAAGGTCAAGGAGTCGATTTCCTCGCACTTGAGTTCATGCATGTTTACCAACCTCAACCATGTTCTCACGCAAGGTTGACCAAGACGTGATACATGAGAACCTCTGCAGACACATCAACAGTAATCGAGGTCAGCTATTGGAGAACTAATCGTTACCACTCGAATTGCCAGGATGGACGACGGCACGGTGACGAGGAGGGTGCCGGCGCTTCGGACGGGGAACATGGAGATGCCTCCTGACGACGGCTACACCTGGAGGAAGTACGGACAAAAAGACATACTCAATTCCAGGTTTCCCAGGCAAGCTTTCGCTTTCGATCCCCTTGCAGCTTATCTGCAATCTACAGTATCGTGATTAGCTTCATCTCCTTGCATTCATGGCAGGAGTTACTACCGTTGCACTCACAGGAGTTACTACGGCTGCGAGGCAAAGAAGAAAGTGCAGAGGCTCGACGACGATCCAAACACGTTCGAGGTCATCTACTGTGGCACTCACACATGCCAGACCTCTCCGACTCCCATCCTGATCCCCACCCTCGTACCCAGCGCCATCGGCAACAACATGAACGACAACGACAACGACGATGGCGGCGGCGGCGGCCACCAGCAGGGAGCGTCACCGCAGTCTGCTTCGATTCAGCTGCGCAACTGGCTCGAGGGCAATCCGAGGAACACAGGAACCCTCCTAATTCCACGGAGTGGAGCTGGTGGCAGCACCAGCAGACAAGTAGGACAGCAGCAGGGTGGTAGAGACATAGACGGTTCCGTGGCAGAACTCGCGGACGCCATGTTCAATTCTGCGAGCAGCGGCAGTAGCATGGATGCCATCTTCTCGCCGAGGCAAGGAAGCTTATAAGCGTGATCCATCATGAAAGCTATAGGATTTAGATAGCAGACGCATTCTTTTTGGCCAAGCTTTCCTTTTTCACTATACAAATCTATGCTAGATTTGTTTTGCTGTCTCGACATAAATCCACACCTGAAGTTCTTCATATTTAAAGCATAGTTTTCTTTGTCTTTTCATTGAACGCATAATTCGAAACCTAGTTACTGATTCTTCTTCCCAAATAGAAACTGTGGTTGAAGCTTTCAACGAACCTGACATGCAAGAACTGGTCTTTTCGTTCTCCTAACCAAGCTCTTCCATAGAAGATTCTCACGGTTTGACGCCTGTCGTAATCTTCAAAGTCCACGGGCTTAGTTTATTGTTCCCCAAGAAGCTTCACCTCCCTTCCTCTGCTTCTTGGTTGCCCATCATGCACTTCATGTTGCCTAATTACAAGACAGAATTATATTCTACAGTACTAGTGATATTGTTCGAGAATTTTCATGTTCTACCGATTTGACCAACGACCAGAGAATCATAACTTAGACTAAATCGATGACCGATTCGGTGATGATTTGAGGCGCAGAAGACGTAAGAGTGGCGGAATAGAATTAACTTCCACTTGCTCTTAACTTTGGAAAAGGTCGAAACCACTCCTCTGGTCAGCCTCGGCGGCTTTGCGAGGTGATGTGATCATCAAGCACAGCATGCGTTCGTCGAAATGCCGGGCTATGCTTATGTAACAATGAGAGCTGTCGTCATGCCGACGCGCAAAAGACGTAACTTCTACGCGGGCGACAGGCAGAATGAGGCCACCCACCATTTAATACCATTTGAAGCGTCTCAGCCAGTTGCTCGCCATCGGCGCTCATCAGCGAACACACAGACGAGCACAGGAATAAAGGCAACAAAGCCACCTCTTAAAAGTTCTGCCTCTGTAGATGAAGAAAGGCTGAGCTGAAACCTTGGGAGGGGAATCGAGATTTCGATTCGGTTTATACGGATTACGTAAATCGATATATCCAATGAAACCCGACCAATCGTTGTCCCTTCCACATGAGACATCAACCCTCTGAACCCGGTTCACGTGGATCAGTTAAATCGAGATATCCAATAAAACCCGACCGGTAACTCACTGAACCCGGTTTTGTAAATGCAATTTTGGTTACGCTTAGATGCAACACAATAAGAGATACCGCCTTTTTCAAAGAAGGCGGTCGGACTGGGTGAGGGCCGTTGTCTCCCTCGACGACGATCGCCTAGCTCCGACCTGTTTGCGATTGCTTCGCTCGAGGAAGAATAGCGATTCTCTGACGAAACCGAAGCTCGATCCGTTCTTGATCATCCGATCGTTCTTGGCGGTATGTCAAGAAACGATCGTTGGTTGTTATTCATCTTCTTAGCATGTTCCGGGTGTTTTCGAACTTTCGGGGTTTTGTGATCCTTTGGAGGTCGAGATGGGCATTGGGTTTTCCTTCCATCTTTCTTGATGGTACATCAAGAAACGGTCATGAATGAAACGTGGGACGGGGGGTTGTTCCGTTGGATTTCTTGGGTTCTCTCATCGTTTCTTTAACTTCCTTGTGACTGATGAGGAATTAGGGTTTTCAAGGTAGGATATGTACGTTAGGGTTTCTGTCGGTCATCAGTACCTTTGAATTGGTCATTTGGAGATAAGAATTTCAATATCTCGCGGGTTAGAAATTAGGGTTGTAAGAAGATTTAAATTGGTTTGACTTCACGATCCATGAGCTTCGGAGCAATCATTTCTAGTAGCATAGCTATTTTCTGTTAGGTTTCTTGCGGTTCGTTTCATTTCTTGATTACTGTAGGAAAATTGGTGACAGGTAGTAACGGTAATTCCTATTATTAGGCCCTTCCTTTTCCTCCTCTGCTCTCCCCCTCCACCTCCTCCTCTTTTCTTGATTGTGATGGCGGCTAACGCTTTCGGTGGTAGGACCCAAGAAATCGGCAGCCTCAGGACTAGCCAATTTGAAAGTCAAAATTGGCTGGATCAGATGTTGATTGGCTGATCTGTTTAACATCATCAATTATGGTTCATTTTATCTGGATTTCATGTTATTTATTCTTTAAGTTTGGTGTGTTAGATGAACAACGCCAACTGTAAATTGGTTATGGGCAAAATTATTTTAACTGTAAATCAGTTTCAGAAGTGATCGTACTTTCCTGCAAGGTTAAGGCACAGTTCATAGTCAGATCTGCGATCGTAGTGAACATAAGAATGCACATAAAATTTTCCATGTTATGTCATGGAAATATTAATTTAATTACACTCCCAATGATATTTTAATATTTCTCGGATTGTTTTACAATTGCATGATAACACTATACTACTAAATAATCATTTGATACTACCAATATATTCTATATTGTTTTTTTACTTTTACTTATTTATGTGCAATCAAATGACTTAAGTAACTTGAATGATTGTACCTTTCTCCTTTATGGAATATTTCTCCTCTTAAATTTTACTTAAAATTCACTTAATTTTGTTAGGAAGCAGTTAGTCTCTCATTGTATTCTTTTTAGGGCAAATTGCATCAACAAAATGTTACAGTGGATGGGAGGCTCACGGAGGAAGGTGAATACTGTAAGTAGATCATCACAGCACTTTGACCAACTATCATTTTTTATGATATGTTAAGTGTAGGTTCAGCTATGGTTTATCAATAGCTAGTTTAACATTCTACATTAAATTCTCTGAAAATGTAAAAAATGGAGAAGTTCATATATTTTTATTAATGCCTACTGTCTGCACTTTCACGCTTTGGTCATCTAAGGCTGCTTCCATACTTGATAGCTTTTTAACTTGTAAAAATATTCTACATTCTCATGTTAATTCTGTGCTTTATGTCACATCGCCTTTCTTATTTTTTTTGTGTTTTCATATTTATTTTTGTCCTAAAGTGGGTCAAGACTTTTCACGTGGTTTAGTAGGTCAAATCTGAAATAGTTTAAAATTGATTACTTAGTTAAATTTTAGAATAATTTCATCTCTGAGCATCTGTGTTTTTTTCTAATCTTTTGCTTATTTGGTTCTTGCTGTGGTAATACAATGGTCGGATGGTGAAATCATCAGTCCAGGAAGTCAATGCATAATAAGTAAGTCACAAACCTGTATCATTTTCTTTAACTGCACTTGGTCTGCTTCATACGTTCTTGATAATTATGCTCCTTGCTCCTAATTGCAAGAAAGTTTTAATCATGTTTGAACTTGTGTAATCATTTACTGAAGGCAAAAACATTACTTTGAACAAAGGAAACGTCAACAGCAAACAACTGGACTGGATAATCATATTCATGACAGTAGTAAGCGAGCACACTATCCTGAGGAACCTCGATCACTTGATATACTAAGCTTTCTAAACTTGGCAACAGTTGCTCAACAAGGTTACTCAAGTCACAATTCTTGTAAGTTTAACATCTTTTATGATTGCAGAAACGTTTTTTTTTTCTGAACCTTAAATTTAGCATTCTAAATTATAAAAAAGTAACATGTATATATTTGAAACTTTTGTGAAGTAACTTTTTGTAAACCTTATAAAAGTCAGTGTCTGGTGGACTGGAAAATGCAGCTGGTCTCAAATTAGCTTTATATTGCATGATCAAAAGCCTAATCATTTATAGAATATTCCCAGTAATTGTGTCTTCATGCAAAACTTTCATTTCCATTTGTCCTTGCTAACAACAACTTTGTTGATCCATATGCTTGTTGGTGACAATCTGAAACCAATCTTAGGTATACTCCTACTGTGTATGAATTTTTTATTCCTCTTATCTCATTATTCATTGCATCTTTGTTGGATGTACCTATAAACATGGATTAAAGAACCATGGTCTATCAATTGTATTGTACTGATCCAACTACATTTGTATGAAATACTGTACCATTCTATTATATTGGTACTTACCACCAAAGGATGAATCTAGTGTCTGAGGCTACTGTCAATGCAAGATCTGGGGAGAGCCAATACTTCAGTGATTTGAATCCCCTACAAACTTTTCCTCTATATATAGTATACATATACATATATGTATGTAATGTATTACAGGATGCATTAGGGGAGGCATGTGCACTATTGACATTGAACCGTTAACCTGGAAACAAACCCTCACGGGTACCAAGCATCCAGTTTCTTGGATGCATATATTTTTGTTTTTTTCAACAATGTCCGTATGCATACCTACATGCTGTAGTGGTTTGACAGGAACTTGTATAGGAGTAGTATCTGAGATTTAATTCCTTGCTCTGTATACTAATTTGATCTTTTATTACTAGCTCTTCACTGGATGACACTATGACAACTTCTTTATTGTTGTAAAACCGATACATATAATTTAGTATCGAAGAATATCCCTTCAACAAGTAGAATACTCATTATCATCTGTATATCTTGTTAGACAATTTTAATTGCTTTGAACAACACTCTATACTATTGCTCTTATTATGCTGATTTTTATTTTCCTCCATTGATTTGTTCTTTTAGTTATAACCATGTAAAGGAAAAATGATAAGTTAAACATCCATATTGAAAATTAGTTTGGCCGTTTATAGTTGAATAATCATTAACTTACTTCTTTTAGTCTCCATGTATGAACATCCATATTTTCTACTATTGACATATAAGATTGCCTTTTTTAATACCATCTAATTTGGAGGTACCTTATTTGAAGGCAATCTAACTAGTCTTGGTGGTAAGAAAAAGATCTAATTTTACATTAGATAACATGTTGGCTCATCATATAAACACATGGAGGTTAAGTGTTGTTGACTTCTATAATTGCCTTGATTGAGGATGAATGTAAAATGTTCATATGCACTTCCTTTGGAACTCTAGATGGAAGTGTGCTATTTAGTGGTTTGCATGTTTGAGATTTTAAGGTTTCCTTTGATGCCAATTGCAATTGGTATTAATGATGACTTGGAAAAGGGAAGGGTCTGAATATAAATCTTTTCCTCAACATGCAAGAGTTGATCGTGTAAGTCCTGGTTCTTTCTAGGTCGGACGTACTTGGAACTTACTGACATGTTAGTTGAATTATTTAAAAGCATATCAGCTCTGTTCTGCCAGAGTTGGTTGTGTCTTGGTGCATTACTGGATTATTGTTTGGCTCAGTGAGAAGGTAACTGTTGGTTTCTCATTTGATTGCCTCAACAAATTCTTTGCAAAGGATATTGACTCAGGAAGTGGCTTGGGGCATATTGCATTACCCCTAATCTTCTTTAACAAATGAACACGATTGTCAATAACCTTAACTCCTGAGGTTGTATCCATGTGTAGGTTTCAGTTTTCATGTTTTCTCATGAACTTCAGTTTCTACTCATCAGAAAATTGGTCATTTAGAAGTGACTGTCAGTTCAACAAAGCTTCCCCAGAGCTTATCTGAAGAAAATAGCTTGTCATTATTCTACAGATTGGAAGAAGGTCATTAGGTTTCAGCTTTGTCATATATCTATATTTACCTTACATCAGTTTTTCTGTAAACAGAAGTCAAGATTAATCTGGATTGTATATTACTTAGTGATTTGATGGTTTTCTTCCAGGTTTTCAACAAGAGATTTTGTTACCAGATAAGTAAGTAGAAAAGTCTTTGGTTTTTCTTTGCCATGTTCTTATAATGTCTTGTCTTGCTTTGAAAGACCAATAAAATTTTGTAACAGGTGTTCTGCAGCCATCACTGAAAATGCTTCAGCAACTCAAAGCCTTAGCAACAAAGTGGAAGGCTATAAGACATCGGCATCTTCCTGTAAATTTAGTCCCATTTCTACTCATTTGAAATCAGAGGAAAAACAAGAGGATATCCAGGATGGTAAGCAAACTTGAGGATGATCTTGTCAACAGGAACACACCTGGGAACTCGGTGGCTCAAATAATAGTTTCAGTCATCTCCAGGGTTTATATATTTTAAACAGCCTAAGTAATTCTTGTATTTTATAGGGAATAATATGTGTGATAGTATTTTGATTTTAACTACTCTTTGCAGAGGTCTCAGTCCTTGATCTACTCAATGATGACAACAAAAAAATTGACTGCAGAGGAAGAGTAGTTCCCGAAAGTCATGTTGCCTTTTCAGTGGGAGGTACCAGAGTTGTCTTTACTTTGAGAAATTTAACAGGCAAATTGGTGTAGGACAGAATGATGGTTGCCAAATTGCATTGGGCTCCACAGGTTCTTTTACTGATAATTCATTTGTCACTTGCCATTGGTTGTTTGTGCACTTTAAACATCTAAACCGGATAGTTTTGGACATGCTAAGATAATATAGTTTTAGGTTAAACTTGGAATAATTGGTATCCACTGCTGCCTGCTGAGGCAGGCTAAAGGATAATTGATAATTAAATTGAATAAGTTAGATAACTAGCAGAAGCTGCAGAACATTGTTATGCTATAAATTTCCACAATTTATCTGGTTCGTCTCTAGATGAATGCATGAAATTTTTATGGAAGAAACCCCTTAATATGTAAATGTGGCTGTTTGGTACAATATAATTTTAACTTTTAAAGTCCATCACTATATATATTGAAGGAACAAATAATACTAGTCTTTATAGCATGATTATGTATTTTTGCTGTCTTTTAGTCAATTAGTGCAACAACCTTTTGATGTTAAGTTTGTTTCTTCTTATGTGTCAGGTCTTGGTAATGTTGGGATGGAAACTCCTGCTCACTCACCAAGAACACAAATAAGGTGACTTTATAAAATTTGTGGTTGAGTTTTGCAGAATTTCTGTAACACCTAGGAAACTAGGATTTAATCTTGTTGTCACCAAAATATCTTCATATCTCATTCAAATTTATCTCCCTTGGTTGGGAAACTTCTTTTATTTTAATCTCGGTCCTTGGTCTAACTTGGTCCTTGATCTTGATTTTATTTGTTGATTCAATTATATTCTATTTTTAGTTTGTTTGTTTTCATGATCGATTTCTACTTATGTCATGACCAATTACCAATATCAAAGCCATGTGGACCTTGTTCTCAAAACAGTGCCCCTAAAGTGATCTTTGGTGGTGAATAAAAACTAATATACCATCCATATAGTTGATTTTATTTGTTGATTACTTGATTTCAACTATATTCTACTTTAATTAGCTTGTTTTCATGATCGATTTGTATTTATGTCATGGCCAATCTGAAAATCATGTGAGACTTATTCTTGAAACTGTGCCCATAAAGTTCCCTTTGGTGGTGAATAACAACTAATATACTATCCATATAGTTGCTCATATTTCATGTGAGATTTAGACACATGAGCTCCCTCATTTAAATGTCTGATGTTCTCTTCAAGGCAACTCATTACATCACTAGGAAGTAGGATCCCCTGCAAATAATGTGCAGTTCTGAGGCATTACAAACAATCACAAGATGTTGCTGACATTGTCCATGGCACCCTATTTCTTTGTTGGAAAGTGGTCGGCCAGGATGTTTGTTAAATAGTGTCTTGAATATTATATTTATCATTGCCCAAGCCTAAGTTCATGTGGTGCTTTCTCCCTAAAGTAGCATTTATGGCTCTTTTGTTGGTGATTAATAACATAGGATTTACGTCATGGAATTGTATGCCATGTAAGACTAACTGGGCTATCATTATTTATATGAATCCTAGATGGCCTCTTGTTTAAGTACCTTGGGAACCCATATCATCATTGACAAACCTTTCCTGATTATACATCATATACCTTTTTTTTTTATCAATGGCAAACATCCCTTGAAACTTTTTTGTGCTTCTTTTAGTTGTATTGATCGAAGTTCTTTAGTGATCCTACTAACACTTTCAGGATTTTAATCAAGGTAATTCTCGTACTCATATTCTTGTTCTCATATATGACCTTTTTTAAGTGTTTGAGAAGATAGCAAGAGTACATTCTGGTTATTGATTTAAAATCTTTTGCTTGTTGGTCATGATACGTTCTCTTGCTTATTTGAGCTGCACATTGGCTTAGAGACATAGAGAAAGGTTATGCATTTCTATGAGCATATTTTGCTATTAAAAATAATATATAACTGTATTCTTAACCTTCATGATATACATTAAAATCTTCTACAGGAGTTTCGTTTCACCTCTAAGGATGTCAAAGCAAGTACAAAATTCGGCAAATCTTAGGTCCATGTCTTATGATCTTGGGATAGAACTGGTGATAATTCTACTTGTTTCTTAGCCTTTCCCATCTAATGTTAACTATTCATTTATTATCTTCTTATTTCTTGCATTTTAAATGGTAATCTATACGTCAAGGTATCTTCTGGATCTTCATGGCACTCGGTGTTTATTTATGAAGATCATTTTCCCCATGTATCTCTATCTGCATACATTCATTTTGAACAGATAGATATGAAAATAACTTTCCTCAACTGTTTATGATGTCAATTCTCTTTCAATATTGGCAATCAATATGGAGCTTTTAGCAGTCTACCAACTCCTGTGCATAATATAACTTGTTGAAGCTCCTTGTTGCTGTCATATTGTGGTTCTTTGTATCTTTATTATACATTTTATAATTGAAGGCTGCCCATTTGTATATCATCTCCAGCACTTGTTTCTGTCGCTAGCTTTAGTAATGTCATTTGCTTGACTGTCTCATAAATAATAATACATTCTTGTGTCTGTTTAATTTTCAAGTGAGAGATCTGTGCTGCCACATATAAATTAATGTTGAACACAGTGCCTTGTTTATAGTAATGTCGTTTTCCAAAGTATTTTTGGTAAACTAATCTTCAGTTTTTCAAGTATCTTTCTTTTACGGTTTTAGTGCTAAATGATTCATTTTGACTGAGAGTAGAATATGTTTTTGGAACCTAGTTAGTACAGAATATGGTACCACATTCACTTATCACTCTAATGGTTTCATTGTGCTGGAACAAGTATAGTTTCTGCTTCTTTTTTGTAGGTGGGTGACGATGGTAAGGTAGGGTTGAAAGATTTTACCTTTATTTATGTAATGTGAATTATATTCATACAATCTCTTATGACAAGCATCTGCTAACTGCCAATAAAAGACCAAATCATTTGTTCAGAGTTACATCAGCATTTACTTTAGTATTTACAATTTTTTTCTTATGACTTGCAGAGTGCAGCTATGTGTGATACTGAGAAGCCAATACATGGGCATTCTGCTGGAGTAGCTTGCAAACAAAAGGGTACTTTTGAAAAGGAGAATAGGACAAGTATGAAGTTTATTGACTCATGTATCTACTCAGATGTGCTTGATGATCTATCTGATTGCTTTGGTAGTGGCAATGAAAATTTTCAAGAATGTCGAAATGAACTATGGGAATGTAAGTTCTTCCTTTAAGCTTGTCCTTGAAGATTCCGGCTTCACATTCTGGTAAATTCTTTTTGGCATCTTCTTCACACATTGAGAACTATGAAATGGTTGTGTGTCTAATTTATTAAGTATTGGATTTATTATTTTGTGGGTTTCATTGAAGTACTTACTATGTGACTTTGGAAGTGAGTTCAATTACTTCCAATGTTTGGGTGGTCACAATGAAATTTAAAGTGAGTCCAAGACCTGAAGTAACCTGGCTAAAATCAGCAAGTTGTTCTCTGTTCTGTAGCCACTATAGTTCCTATACTGGAACTGATTCTGACTTCCATCACTTACATTAAACCAAACAAACCCTAGAATTAGGTATTCGGTTTTTTCATCATTTGGTTTTACAGTAACAAACCAACTTAAGACAAATTAAATCTATGAATACTTGTCTTAGAAAGATCCAATAAGAAGACAACCCTTTGAACAAAAAAAGTACTACGTGAGATAATAAAACTTGAGTTGTGCATGAACATTTTACTTGTTGTCAGCCATGGTTGTGTCAGGAGGCTTTCCCTGTAAAAACCAGTACTTATTGCTATATCAAGGTTCAATTATCTTTTGGATTATACCATTTTGTAATTATCATATGGCATGATTTTGTTCTTGAATGCTAACAATTGGTGGTCTGTAAGCATGTGGTTGAAGCTGGCATTGGTTCCTTTGTTTCATGGGCCCATGCGACTTTGTTGTACTATAATGCTAACTAGTCATATTTATGTTGACTATTTGCACCAATCTTGTGTGTTCCTTTCTCTTTCATTCTTGATGCAAAACATTGCGCAAACTTGAATCCCACAATTTGATCATGTTTTTCAGTTAGTAATGGCATGCTGGATGATGATTTCGTCAGTATAAGGGAGTATGAGACAGTAAGGCAGAATAAATCATTCTATTCAGAGAGTCATGCTTCCATCTTGTCAAATGCTAAATTTTCTGACGCATATGAGTGTGGCCTTGGAGATTTCTTCTTAGACAGAAGCAGGTTGACTATCTGAGATATTGCCTTTCTATATAATAAATAACAAATGACTTTATTATTTCGATCTCTATGTTGTACTTCTCTAGATCTGAGGCAAAACAACAGAAGAGATGCAGCAATTCAGGTTGACTTATTTGCCAACAGTTTTTCGAACATGTATACTTGTTTTGTTGTCTCTATGCTTCAAGATTTTGTCTGTTTGTCTTATCTATGTCTTGATGATACACAAGAAAATGGTTAAAGAGACCAAACGAATGGTGAAAGTGAGACAACCATGCAGTTCATCATAATTATCCTGTTTTTTTCTCTGATGATCTAATCTCATTGAAATTGACTGAAAGATAGAGGTTCTGCCTAAGCCATTATTTGTTATATTCTAGGCTACATCTTCTACATCTAGATTATGTTCAGATCAATCTATCTTCATGGTTTTGCCATAAAAAAGTATTATGGTTTGGTAACGTCCATGTATCCTTATCTCTGCATGCTTTAATTTGAAAGTCTGCACTTTATAAGTCAAATAAAGTCCACAGAAATCCATCCTGCTTCTGCTCCACGACCTAGTGGGGACATGCCCTAACTGATAGAAATTATAACTTCCAATTGCCTAGTTTGAAGTTTGGTTAAACTTCCAATCCCTACTTCTGGGGGAGAAAATAGGAGGAAACCTGTTAATCTGTTTCATTGAATATAAAATAAGGATTGAAAGTAAATAGAAGAAAGACTCATGTCCTAGAAATAGAAGAGGGGAAAGGAGGGAACATGTAGTATGGTTTTAGGACAAAGACTATCCAAAGGGACAACATCTATCTGGAATGTTGATTTTTTTTTCAAGATTAGGCCTTACAGTATTAAGAAAATTTGCAATTTCTATAAGGATTCTAGTTATTTTTAGAAGAAATTCTAGTTGCTATGCTCCAAGTAGGAAGACAGTCTGTGCCTTGTACCAAGACAAAATATTAGATCAGTGGACATTTTACAGCTAATGCATCAGTGGCTATTTTCTTGGGAAGTTTGTCCCAGAAAAGAAGGCTATGGATATTGTTTCTCTTGTTCATTTTAGTCTCTTTTGTTCCCTGCTGGTCCTTGGCTCTTAATTATCCTTTTCCCTTTCCCTTTCTTGTAATCTCTATATCATCCTCTCAATAAAATTGGATTAGTAGGTGCTGGCTCATCCTGATGAAACTTAATAAATTATTATGATCTGCATCATTTTAGTTTACTTCATAATATGATAGGTTGGTCAGTACTAACTCAGGTTAAACAATTATTTATCTTAGGTGAGTAATATCTAGATAAGATATTGTTTTTCAGAGACTAAAACTAAGAAAATTTCAGCTAACCATTTACTTGCTATTCTTTATTAGCAATATCTGCTCCATTTACTTGCTATTCTTTATTAGCAATATCTGCTACTTTTGTCTTGTTTTTTGGAGTTTTGGATAGTATCGTTTTGTGACTATTGCATGTCAGCAAAAAGTGGCTCTTTATTCAATCTTTCGGCAGTAGGAAAAGACTTCAGCCTTGTATCTCCTCACAAGGATAGAAGGTATGCTAATGCAAAAAATTTCATTATTGTGCTGTGTAATATGAACACATAGATACAATCTGGTTAACAGAAGTTAAAGATTGGATCCTTTATGGACAGTCTGTTTGATCTACCGTCTTGGTCTTTCTCACAAAAAGAAGACTTGCTGGACATCATAAGTTCATCAAGGTAAAGCCAACCTATTTTCAATCATCTGTGACCTACCGTCTCTACCTTTTCTATTTCAGGTTCTAACACAGTTTATTATTTACATTGATGAAATTTTCTCAGCGAGGAGTCCTGCTCATCTACTGCAGGTCATTCATTGTTTGTTAACATATCATACTGACTGTAGGATGGTAGTTGATTTTGGCATTTTCTTTTGCAAAAAGGAGTTCTATCCATATACATCACTTCTAATCTTGCAGTGGGGAAAGGTAAGAGTTATGACATACTATCACACTTAACACAATTGAAAGAAAGCAAGAAAATCCATTCAGATGATCTGGATATAAGCTTAGTGAATCTGAAAGGACGCAAGAAAAACCACATGGATGAGCTGGATATGAACATAGGTAGTGGTCAATGAAATGAATGAAGCTTTTTATTTAATGAATTTAGGAGCAGGAAACTTTTAGGTGCATGTCAAAGTAGTTGAATTCTATATCTTGTTATTTCTTAGATGTATCATCTCCAGTTCAGAGAATTCCAGATCCTGACTGCATTTTTCCCTTCAAGGAGGACTTTCCTTCAGGTAAATTGGCTTCTGATTCTGTTTTCTGGTTCCAAAAGTTTGACAGGAAAGTAAAATGTCATCTGATCACAACTTATTGCTTGAATCTAATATTTAATCTGCTTGCTGATCCAGTACTGAGTCCCAGGACAGACTTCACACGGGGAAGATCTAAATCAAACATACCTGTTGACCATGAAAGTTTTTATGACTTCAACTTTGAGAACAATATATCAGGAGAGCTATCAGGTTTTGCCTTTCGGCCCCAGAAGCCTCACGCACATACCCAGATGTCAGAAGGTTGTTTACCATATTCATTTTCTGCTGGGGACAGTCAACATGACACTCAATTGTCTGATTCAGTGAGGCAAAGGAATGCTAGCAAGACCAGTGGAGAATCAGAAGGAATTTCAATAAATCTAGAAAACAAGATCCTTAGTGAAAAATCTTTGTATTCACTAAGCGAAAGAGAGAATAACAACGAGGCACCAAGTGAACGTCTAGAACTGAACAAGAGGAAAGCATCATCCTGCAGCTCCAAGGCCTATGATCCTCCTGAAGAAGCTGAGGTTCCATGGAAAACCAAGGAAGTTTCTGAACTTCAGACTTACATTAATGACAAAGTGTAAGAATCTCCTCCTTTGCTCACAACTTTATTCAGATTTATGACAGCCTTAACATATTTCTTATGTATTAATAAAATCAAGGGACTAATGCCCATTGCTGCTGTCCTCTAACTTGATTGCAGTTCTCTGGATCCTTCAGATATCAGAAACAAAGGTTTCTTTTTGCTCGATTCAGCCTATCTTTTGATGTATCTGTCTTGAAGTGTGCAAATAAAGTTTGATTTTACATTTGATAAGCATTTTTTTGGATGAAATGACATTTTGATTTCTCTCTCTTTTCAGAGTCTCTTAAAGATAATTTGGGATCCGAAGTGACATTGTTGGAAGCATTCCAGGTGAGGTCTCTGATATGTCTTACCAAGTTCTGCTAGAAAGATATGTTCTTCAACTTCTCTGTGTACAAAAAGTGCTTATTGAAGCATGACAAAGTAATACTGGGATGCAGTGAAGAATAATTTTCATTCCCCAGATCAAGTAAACTGACCCCTGTATGATAGGATTGGATATAACCGGAAAAAAATGTACTTTTCTGTAATTGAGGGCAAGGATCTCTCTGAACGACAAGGAGCGGAGACAGCATTGAAGTTTAATAGTTTTACATCCAAATCTCAAACAATGTCTCTGGGAATTGAACAATTAGGCCTTGCTAATCCCTCTATAGACCATTTATCAATCATCAATCTTGTTGAATTCATACTGCCTCTTTGGATGCCTGCACTCCTTAGCCAACAAATTTCCAAAGAGATCATCTCCGTTATGGTTTTTGTGATTTCATTTGATTGATTAGATATGACTTTATACATTTTTTAAAGATTTTTATTTTGTACATGGTGAAATTTTCTTTTACACTGTTATTTAATGGCTTGTCCTTTTTTTTTTGGTGGGGGGCAATATTTTCTTATAATTTCTTCCCCTAGTACACAGGTAAATAATTGAGAAATGTTTTGATTCCCTAATAAATGTTCAGTCCTTGATAAAGGAATGGCCAGTTGAACGATTGGGCCATCGGGCCCATGAAAGAAAGGAACCATCCACCATCATTGGATTCTCGAGCAACATAGAAAACCTAGAGGCGGATGTCTCGGCGCAACTCTCATGATGGTGTCCGCGTTGGAAGAGCCAAAAGTATCCCTAAATTTCGTTTCGCGCATGGAGCCATACGTTGTTATTTCTGAGAGCCAACCTACACCTCGTTTGGCCTGTTGGTCAGGACAAACTATGTGTACCTCACAGCAATCACTGCGGTGTGCGTGCATTAAATGAGCCATAAATACGCCGACAGTTACGCGTGTACCTCAAAACAGATGACCGGCACGTGACACTCCCCTGGAGAAAACCGCCACACACACTGCGTGAGAGGGCCACAAAGTAGCGTTGCTGCAGTCGCATACATCAATGTCGACAGTAGAATTTTGGTGAGTGTATTAAATGATGGGCCATCATCATTGCATGCATTATGATGACAGAATAAAGCAGAGACTTGCATGCTTGCAAGGTAGATAAGTCATTTTCCTTTTATTCCAAATTCAATGTGGTGTTTTCAGGATAACTCATATCTGCCAACAGATTCTTCCGTGTATATATCAACAAGAAAGAAACTAAGTATAATCTGATTAATATTTTCTTTTCTTTAGAAAATGTTATGATGCTTTTATGGATTTATGAAATCTTGGTATTCTGTTCTTGATAAAAGGTAAAGGTATATTTATGCCTAAATTTTCTGTTCTAAAGAAATTGCTGATTGAAAACTAGGATTTAAAACAGGCTTTAAATAGTCCACTTACTTGTCAATTCTACCTTGAGAGGCATTCATTGACCTCATTATCTTCTGCCACCTCTTCCACCTCACTCCCCCCCATGTTCAAGTGCTACCTTCCTTCCACCACCTTCCTCCGGCTTTAGCTGTTGAGGGCACAAAAAAGCAGCAAAAGCTGTTCGTTTCCAGAGACAAAAGCCAGGACCCATCCTCATTTCCCTCACCTCCTCCTCTCCATCCCTTAACCTAGTGGCGTTGTAGCTCTGCAAGCGATCTATTGCTTTCTTCCGCGGCTTCTGTGCCCAGAGCAAGTGCGTCTTTGTGTCCTCCGTCGATTTCCCGGTTAAGATCTCTCCTTTTCCTCATTTTCAATCTTCCAAGCCGGAAAAAATACGTCTTCTTTGAGATCGAGGTGCTCAATCTGATCTTTTTGGTTGAAGATCGAAGCGGAAGTACAGGGATTTCCGTCGAAGATGAAAAGCCTTCACCTTGGAGTCATTTACCTCCTCTCAATCCTTCCCCTGCTCGCCGAATCCGGGGCTACCACCTTGAACGACGACGTCCTTGGTCTGATCGTCTTCAAGGCCGGCGTCGAGGACCCCCGGTCGAAGCTGGCGTCTTGGAACGAGGACGACGTGGACCCTTGCAACTGGGCCGGCGTCAGATGCGACGCCAAGTCGAACCGCGTCACCGAGCTCGCTCTGGATGGCTTCGCCCTCTCCGGAAAGCTCGGCCGCGGCCTCCTCTGGCTTCAGTTCCTCGAGACGCTGTCCCTCTCCATGAACAACTTCTCAGGTAGCCTCAGCCCTGACCTCCTCCGCCTCGAGAGCCTTCGAACGCTGGATCTTAGCGCGAATCACCTCTCCGGCACCATCCCGGATGGGTTCTTTGGGCAATGTAGGTCCATTCGAGACATCTCCTTGGCAAAAAATTCCATCTCGGGGAAGATTCCTCCGGATGTTGGCTCTTGCTCCACCCTCGTGTCGCTGAACCTCTCGTCGAACCAGCTATCTGGCTCTTTGCCAAGTGAAATATGGTCTTTGAACGCCTTGAGATCGCTCGACCTCTCTGATAATTCTCTTGTTGGCGAGATACCGCTTGGAATTAGCAGGATGTTCAATCTGAGGATGATCAGCTTGAGGCGAAACCGACTCACTGGCCAGTTGCCGAACGATACCGGAAATTGCATGCTGTTGAAGTCTCTTGATGTCGGAGAAAACCAGCTGTCCGGAGACCTCCCATACTCCATGAGGAATCTTTCAACATGTACCTATCTTAGCTTGAGCTCAAATTCCTTCTCTGGGGAACTTCCGGCATGGATTGGAGAGATGAACGGTCTCGAGACTCTGGATTTGTCGGGGAATAAGTTCTCCGGTGGCTTTCCGAGTTCATTAAGCAATCTACAACTCTTGAAAGTGTTGAAGCTTTCTGATAACAGTTTCTCCGGCGGCCTGCCAGATTCACTGGCTGCTTGCAGGAGCTTGCTGGATGTGGATCTTAGTCGGAACACGTTGACAGGGAACCTTCCCTCATGGGTTTTTGAATCAGGTTTCACACAAATTTTGCTATCAGGGAACAAATTTAGTGGACCGATTGTCATCCCCTCGGTCACTGATTCGACTATCCAAGTGCTGGATTTATCGGGCAATGCCTTCTCTGGCAAATTTCCAAATGAAGTTTCAAACCTTAGAAGCTTAGAATTCTTGAATCTTTCGTTCGACTCGCTATCAGGCCCCATTCCCGCAAGTGTAGGCGAGATGAAGTCTTTGCAAGTTCTGGATGTTAGTGGGAACCGGCTGAGTGGGAGTATTCCATTAGAGGTTGGCCTAGCAGCATCCCTCAGAGAGATGAGGCTGGAGAAGAACTCTCTCACCGCAGAAATTCCGATTCAGATAGGAAGTTGCTCTTCGCTCGCATACCTGTAAGATTTCTAACTCTAATTTCTTTTGTCATCTCTCTAATATTACTTTATTTGGATTGCATTGTCTTCCAAATGAGAAGTTTAAGGTACCTAGAAGGCTAGAACCTTACAAAATATCTCGAATCCAACTCCTATTTGCTTGTTTCTGGTCTAGAATTAGCTGGATAGCAGCTGTGTTGGCTGCAGTCTGCTAGGATTTCTATGGTTATTTATCTTATATCTAGAAATTAACTTACATGATATCCCATGTTTGGATTTTTGATTTTTGGTACAGGGATCTTTCACAGAACAACCTTACTGGTCCAATTCCTGAAACATTAGCTAATCTCACCAATCTCCAAGTTGTTGATTTCTCCCGCAACCAGCTCTCAGGAACCATCCCTAAGCAGCTCGCTGACCTCCCCCACCTCCTTTCCTTCAACATCTCCCACAACCAACTCTCTGGAGACCTCCCCGCGGGAAGCTTCTTCAACAAAATACCTCCTTCCTCAGTAACAGACAACCCTGGTCTTTGCGGATCTGTTGTCAACCTCTCTTGCCCTGGAGTCCTCCCAAAACCCATTGTACTTAATCCCAACTCCTCGTCAGGTGATTCATCATCAAACCCCGTGCTCTCGCCCAGCAACCTCGGCCACAAGAAGATAATTTTAAGCATCTCTGCTCTCATTGCCATTGGAGCTGCTGCTGTGATTGCTCTAGGTGTCATTACAATTACTGTCCTAAACCTCCGTGTCCGTTCCTCTACCTCCAATTCTGCTGCAGGATTGGCATTATCAGATGGATACCTTAGCCATTCTCCAGCTACTGATGCTAACTCTGGCAAGCTTGTCATGTTCGCTGGTGGTGACCCTGAGTTCAGTGCCGGTGCCCACGCTGTCCTTAACAAGGATTGTGAATTGGGTCGCGGCGGTTTTGGTGCAGTCTACAAGACAGTTCTCAGAGATGGTCGATCTGTGGCAATAAAGAAGCTTACAGTTTCAAGCTTGGTGAAGTCGCAAGACGATTTTGAGAAGGAGGTCAAAAGGCTGGGAAAAGTGCAACATCCCAATCTTGTGGCCCTGGAAGGCTATTACTGGACTCCTTCTCTCCAACTTCTTATCTATGAGTTTGTGCCTGGTGGTAGCCTATACAATCACCTCCATGAGTGCTCTGCCTCCGACACCCTCTCATGGCAAGAGCGTTTTGATATAATTCTTGGTATTGCAAAAAGCTTAGCACATCTCCATCATCTTAAGATAATCCACTACAACATTAAATCAAGTAATGTTCTCCTTGATGGATCCGGTGAGGCCAAGGTGGGGGACTATGGGCTGGCAAAGCTGCTACCAATGCTGGATAGGTACGTGCTTAGTAGCAAGATACAGAGTGCCCTTGGGTACATGGCACCAGAATTTGCATGTCGAACAGTGAAGATCACAGAGAAATGTGATGTGTATGGATTTGGAGTTCTGGTCCTTGAGATTTTGACTGGCAAGAGGCCAGTGGAATACATGGAGGATGATGTGGTGCTGCTGTGTGATATGGTGAGGGAGGCACTAGAGGAAGGGAGGGTGGAGGAATGCATGGATGGGAGACTTTGCGGGAAGTTCCCTCTAGAGGAGACTATTCCGGTGATCAAATTGGGTTTGATATGTACTTCCCAGGTACCGTCTAACAGGCCAGACATGGCTGAGGTCGTGAACATACTGGAGTTGATCAGATGCCCTCAGGATGGCCGGCAAGAGGAATTTTGTTGAACATCTGGGCTTAAATCTCTTTTTTCACCGTAAGAGTCTGTGACATAATCAGTTGGCATATGAAGACATGGCATAATGACAGCATGGATGTTGACTCTGTCTGCTTTGCTTGAAATGAGAAGAACAGAAGGTCTAGAATCTGATGAGCAAGAAATCCTTATGAAATTTTTGTCGTTAGAATTCTGCAAATGGAGGAGGTTTTCCTTTTCTTCTTACTATTTTTCATGTGCGTCTGGAATTAGGATTTCCTTTCACCAGGTTCTTAAATTGTGAAACCCTTCTGAAGATACATATTATTGCATACTACTTTGATGTCTTTTTGTTCACTGCTAAGCATGGTATCAAAGAAGCTGGCAGGGCCAAAGGTGTCTGAGTACCATTTAGGATATTAATCTTGATTAATTTAGCTTTTGTTTGCTCTTTCTTGCTTATGATAGGCATCCAAAGAAACTTTTTTCTTTGCATGGTGTCGCTAACCAAGCACTTCAGTTACTTTTAGTTACTGTTTCTTGTAATTCTCTTTCCATCTTTGGCATACAATGTTCATAAATCCATTATGTATGCACCACAAATGTGCTTTTTCTCGGTAGTAACTGTGCCGTACTCCATTTGAAATGTTCCAGTTTCATGAGAAACCTGGTCCCTTGATCCTCTAAGCATCAGCAACTAGGGATTTTAATCTACATGTTTCCTTCTGAACATAGAAATGTATGAGGTCTTATTCATCTTCAGAGCTTAGTTAAACTTGTTCCTCAGCTTCCTATTGGAACAGTAACCAGCCTTTGTATACCATTCCCATTCTTCCCCTGAACGTCTTCCTATCAATGACCATCAACATAGAAAATTGAATTGCTTACTCTATCAGTCTTAACTACCCTCATCGATGCAGCAGCGTTAGGTGAGTGGCTGCTTTTCATAGCCAAAGAGAATCCTGCTATCTATCTGTAGAAAAAAATTAGTTGTTCACCAACTAAACTTGTCCCTAACCTCAATTCCTCTCTCCATGTGACTGTAGAGCTGGTCTTCTTTTCATGACTTTGGAAGGAGATAGCTTGTACCAAATAGATAACAAGCTGCCTCAGACATCAAAGTCAAAAGCAGTTGGGGCATAAGGGCCTCAACTGAGATCCTAATCACTTCAGTAAAGGAAAAGGATGATGTATTAGTCAGAAAAATAGAAGTACTTGGAGGTGGCAGATAGAATCAAACAGTATGATGATGTCAGAGCAGTAGCACTTGATGAAACTCCTTGCACCTGCAAAACCCTTGAAGTGAGATCCACCACATGAGAGAAGTGTTGTTTTCTGACATGACTCAGAGAACCTCTTCTTGTGTTTGATAAAATATATAGAGTTTGATTGGTTTCTGTATTAGAAGATGCATGAGAAGAAGCCTGATAGGCCTTGTCATGATAGTTGCTGGAAATAAGCTTTTGTTTAGGAGACATATGGGTTGTACAAGATCTAGAAGTTATTTGAATAATAAGCAAATCACTGCAGGTCTAGATGATAATAATGTTTATGAACTTGTCTTTACCATTTCGCCTCGACGACATTATTTTTCTTTCCCGTATGTTTCATGTATGCAAACTACATGTGTTCTGAGCCTTCTGTATTAGTGTTTTGGTATCCCTTATAACTTGTGATGCAGATAAATCCTTTGATACTGTGAAAGTAACAATTCTAGGTTTCAGGTGGGCCACCTAAAACCTTCTATATGATGTATAGCTTAAATACTGATTGCAGATTCTCTTTATTTGATGCCTCCTAACATTATTTTGGGGTGTAGCCAGTGTTTGCAAGTCTGAGTAAATGGAATACACACTGGTCCCTTGTCATGACATCCATATGTTCATCTTCTCTGAGACCCACATCATTCTCTCAATAAAGTCACACAGCTCATGTTTACTCATTAGATGGCCTCAAAGTAGCACATTGTTGCTGGTGTTTGGTGTATCTAATGATAAAGGAAATTGGTGACTGTGTCAAGAGGGCTTAAAGAAAAGGACTCAAGTTGCATGTGGTCCCAAATACATTGTTCTCACTTTCACCAGTGGTGGTGTTGAAGTGTACTCTCTTCTTTACTATGGGCATTGGGAAGTGATCAAAGCCAGCTTTGGCATCTTGCTTTTGTTTGCTTTAATTAAGAAAAATTGGAGATTCTCTCCACACATCAGCTTTTGAATTTGAAGAGGGCGGGAGAGGCTTATGTCTTTCACGCCGAGAAGGATTAATGTATACAGTCTTATCTTTTTTCCGATGAAAACTTAAGATAACTTGAGATAGGAGCAATGCAATCATGCTGAATTGCAATGAAGTGCATGTTTGTTGTTTGGTAGATATGATGTGATAATTTTCTTGTGATGATGATCGACTACCACCATGACTCCTAATCTTGTCTTATGGTGTGACCCTTAGCTGTTGAAATATTCAAGCACAGGACAAGGAAGGTAGGCCATAGCTTGCATTTGCCCAATGCACTGACAGTTTCTTTTTATTGGAACTGTCCTGTTTGTCACACAGCATCTCAGCACTTAGGGCAGACACAAGCTTCACCCAGTGGACTTCCACAGCTTTTTCTTTTCATCTGTTCAAAGACCTAAGCATCTAATTGTGTGTGTAGGGACTGCCTCCCTGTCCAACCCTACTCCTCACATGGAGTCTCTTGAATATAAAAGAAGAGAGTACAGCTAGGAAAGCACTGGACTGGAAATAAAGTTGACTGTAAAGGAGGAAGCATGAGTGTTTCAAGCAGTTGATGGACATCTACTACAATCAGAAGCTTTTGCTGCTTTCATTCATCACTGAGCATGGGGGACAATGAATACACCATTGACCCATTTATTCCACCAACAAACATCTCATAATAATTAGGAATGATTTTGGCATGCTTAGCAACACAAACATCCATGAGTAGTTTAGTTCAGAAAAAGCTTTTTTTTTTACTTCTTTTGTTTCATTGACACACAGAGAAAAAGAGTGAAAAATCAGCACAGAATAGCACAAATGAAAACATTTGAGTAGGTTATTTGAAACATAGCAAAGTCAGGCTTCCACCTCCCCTTTGAGATGTTAGTGACCAACATACTCCTTTTCTCCATGGACATGGAAGGTGTGTGGCTTCAGTGGATGGCTCTCTTTCTTTCAGATGTACCTTTTGCTATCTTGAAGGAGAAGAGCTGAGAGGGTCTTTCACTTGAGCTTTTCCTCATCCAACAGATCAGCATCAATGTATTACCCACATAGGAGACATAACATGGATGCAATTTGACGTTGTCTAGAGTGGAGAATCCACTTGCAGGTCCAAGCCACTCCCACTTTCCCTATCAATCATTGTACCAGATAACTCATCTGCTTCACTGCACAAGTAACTTGAATGCAGATTAGGAACTCTTAGTCAGCTATCCATCCAGTCAAAACTGTCATCATAAACAGCAGAAAAGTTCCTGCAGCTAAGAGAAGTAACTATTTTCATGCAAATGCATGAAGAAGTAATAGTTTTAGATGATGCTTCCTAACAGAAGAACTTGCAGATAAGATGGAAGAATAAGATGACATTTCTTCCAGTATTATTATTAACATTATTATTCAAAACTAAAAGCTTGAAGGAAAAAATATTTATTTGATTTCAGTGAATCAATCCTATTCACCAAATAGGGACTGCAAGTCCATGGGTTTTCAGTGCTGCAATCTATTCCTGGGGAATGGCAGCTGGATGCAAGGAGGTCAGGACCAAAATTAGAAGTTTAGAACACACCACCTCAATGTAGGACCCTAATCATCGGCTTTCAATGTAATAATGCTTCCTCAAGTGACAGCAGTTATGTTCAGATAAAATCTAATTAATAGTAATGCACATAAACAGACAAGTTCTGATCATTAAATCTCATGTTACTGACTAGTTTCCATAAATATCTGGTTACATAATAGAAAAAAAAAGAAGGAAAATTCCAGCTGAACCTGCACATGTTCTTTGAATCGATCAATTTATTTCCTTGAACCAACCAACCACTGGGGTTTCATAAAGATGAGTAGCAACAAATTAGTGGCGACAATGAATATAATTTAACGCTTGCGTTCTGCACGCCATTTATACACGGGTCTAGTTGTCGGTTGAACAATTTCATCTTCACGGAGTTTACGCTTTCTCCCAGATTTCTGCAGCATGAAAGACAAAAATACACCTTAGTTACTCCAAATAATTAAATTTAATGACCTGTTGCATCTTCTTCCTAAATGATAACACAAGAAACAGTAACCTGCAATTCTTTTTGCAAGGCCATATCCGAGTAGAGCTTTTCCAGGTCTTGAACCCTTTTTTGCCTTGCTTCCAGTTCTCTGTAAGATGCAGCTATTTTCCTGGGAATGAGAGACCCATAAACATCAGAAAAAGCAAAGGTAAAGCATCATATTAAAGCACAACGGCATCAAATGACAAGAACCAGATGCAAAAAAAAAAGAGTTAAAAGATAAAAGAACAAATAAGATCACCCAGAAAGAACAAAAAGAAAAGGATAAAAAGAAAAGAGAGCAGAATGTACAACACAAAAAGAAAAGGTTGGGTTAATGCCCTTAGTGTTCATTATCAGAGAGCAGAATGTACAACACAAAGTACTATACAGTATCATTACAAAAATCAAATGTTATTTAAATAAGTTTTTTAACATAATGTAATTTTGTTATTGGTCTTCTTCGGTTTTCCTGGAACTAAATAGGCTTCCAGTAGCTTTTATAACAAGTAGTCAGATTGCAGACGTTTAGTTACCCGTAAGTAGACAACGTGCAGCATGCATACAACTAAAGATTTACTTCCTGCACTTAACACAAGATGCATAGGTTTCACGTAAGTTTGCTGGCAACAGGTGTAAAGGTCATAATATGTAAGTTTTAGATGTCATCAAAACTTAAGTTATATGTATAACATTAAAAAATTGAACTATAAACAAATATAAAATGACAAAATATACAAGAACAAAGTTGTAATTTTCTAATTGTTTGGGATCAGCTACTTTAAAGATAATAAAACAAAATATAAAAGATGACCCTAGATATAAATAATATTAATTCATAAAATATAATAAAATATCAGAAGTAACATGAGATTAATATAGCTGATGACATGAGAATAATATCGTGGTCCAGTTACGAGAGCTACCATATTACTCCATTTGCACGGAACAATGGAATTAAATTGCACTTGCAGGTGCAACTTCCAACCACAAATACAGACTACCAAACAGCAGCAACACAATCCGACTTTTAAGCATTTGTGATTGCCTACAACTATACTTGCAGGAATGCATAGCAATCGGAAACCAAATGTCCCCCCAGCAAAAAACTTCCAACAAGCAACACCCACCGGTTTGAGAATTCAAAAGGATTTTAAACATTAAATATCACCCAACATCAGGATAGATGGCTTCAATGACTAGAGACAAGTATAGAACAAACTTAATATCCAGAAAACATCATTGAATATTAAAGAGCACAAAAGGAAAACTCATCAGAAAATCCAATATCCAATTTCACTTACTTTTTTATACGACCTGGAACCTTTACAGAAGCAAGTGAATCCCTCTTTTCAAATTGTCTAGACTGTATTTCTTTGGCTTCTTCCCTGTTACATGACAAGGGGTGACGCAAAATCTTTGAATAAATATAAGATAGAAACAAAAGATCATACAACTATAAAGAGAAACTATTTGTTATTGGTAAAATAAGATAAGGAAACCATACGAATTATATAGAAAAACCAATACATGCTTTTACTTTAAAAAAACCAAAGCTTGTGATGATCCATTACAAATTATAATGATGGCAATTAATCATATTAATTCTGTACTCTTTGTGGCTTTATCTCATCCTTAAACTGCCAAGCAGATTAGCTAAACTTCATTGCATAACTCCTCTTATTACCAAGAGGCCAAACAATTATGAGCCTAAGTTTAGACCTACTTGTTCTGCCTTGTGACAAGCTAATGAATAACCTATTTAACTACCTTTCCCCCAGTCAAAGTGGCTCCTAGGTGTCAAATAGGCATGTTCATCACCAATTTTAATCCAGTACTGTATTATATTGTCGCTGAAATTTTATAATTTTAGATTTTACAACCTACCCAAAGGACCATAGTATATTGGCATAGTTTTCCTTAATCTTATCTTGTTTGCACTAGCAAAAACAAATAAATGAAGCCACATCTAATCTCATATCATTTAGAGAATTGGAGAACCAAGACCCTACAAAAGCCTCAAGCTCCCTTTCCTTGACACGGCATATGAGGGGCACCCCAATAGGACAAAACCATGTGGGACTCATCCAAGATAGGATAACACCTTGTGAGCCCCCAAGCTCAGCTAGGTGAAGCATCTCATTGAATGATGGCTCATCCAAGCTAGAGAAACCTCTGGTTCCCCAAACAAGGGCTCTGCTAGTGCCAAATAGGTAAAAGACTTGGAGAGTCAAGGTCATAAAAACCCCCAGGACTCCTCCATTTGATGGGCCTTTTGAGGCGGGTCACGGAGCCCCAGTACATTAGAATACAACTCCAGTACACGTTTCCTATAATTAAACATCAAATTCAAAGGCGAAATATGTGTCAAATTTTTGTCTAGATGTCATTGGTCTACACAAGCAGGATGCTGGACTATCGTACCAAAGAACCTCTACATGGGTTGACCAAATGTTCTTTTTTCTGACTCTGTGTATCATATCTTCTTTGAATGTGACTTAACCTTGAACTTTGGAATATTATCAAACAACAACTCAAAGTTGATTTCCCTAACTTTGATAATTGGCACATTGATTCTTGGCTTTTTGAAACATCCTCCTCCAAGATATTATTGTCATATCCTTATGGCAGCTATGTTTAAACCAAAATGATTCCTGCTATCGCAACCACCCGGCCAAAGCTTCCACCCTTGGGAAAAAGGTGGTCTCATCCATTGATTATCTCATCCGTTATGGATCAAAACGTGAGGGATCTCCTCTTCCAATCCCACACCTCAATATATCAAGTTCCTGTTCCCTCACTACTAACCTACACATCAACTATAACTAATCTATCACTTGTGATGGCTCATTCAATCCTGCTTTGGATTATGCAGGTTTTGGCTTTATAATTGAGGACAATCTTGGAACCCATCTAGCTGAAGGAGCATCTACCTGCAATGCCGTTTCACCCCTTCAAGCTGATTGCTATGCCATTCTCAATGGCTTACAAAAGGCCTAAGACCTAGGACTTCCAAATTTTGCAATGCACAGACTCACTAGCCTCTGCAAATTTTGTCAACAATGTTAACACGATACTCTGGTACCTCCACTCTTTGTTCCTGGACATCCATAGACTGTCCAGTTTAATTAATATCATTAAAGTTGTTCATATCCCTAGAGAGGGCAAAAGGGAAGCCCACCTCCTAGCTACAACGGGTTTTCGCTCTTCTAGCAGCAACTCACAGGGTGTGATCTCCCTCTTTACCCGCCATCTTTGTACCCAACTCTTTTGATCAACAAGCATACCCTTTTTTTTTTTAAATGTCCTTTTTTCTTGCCAATGATCCTCCACAATGGCCACAACAAGCAAGGAAAAAATCAAGATACCAGCAAACTAATAATTTAGTTATATAACAGTGAACATACAAGAAAAATCAACATACTGGCAAACTAAAAATTTAATTATATTGGACGAAATCAAGAAATCACAATGATGTCAGACAGATGGATTATTATATGACTAAGATCATTAAAAAGAAAGCTTTTTCTCTTAACTCATTTCAGCAACCAAGTATAATGAAAGACCAGATATATACTAAATCACATAACCCTCAGTGCTCTACATGGACAACTATAATTCATCAGTTGTAATTCATGTGAACTCCTATTATGTTCAACATTGAGAAATGACATGGGCCTAGGGCATAGGGGCATACCTATCCTCAGCATAATACACATGCTTGTTCTCAGGCTGATGATCCAGTGTATGAAGGGCAGAATTTAATCTTTCAATTTTCTACATCGAACAAACAATTGTAATAAGAAATTGAATGCACCATAGTTTCATCAACCCGTATAAATACAAAATAGGGAGTGATTTAATGATTTAACCTTCTTTTCACTTTGAACTTTCTGAAGAACATATCCAATATCTTGTGTCTTCATCAGCATGAGCTGCTCCGGTGTGTACTTGTTAGCTTCGCTCCTGAAGGACATTTGTTAGTATTATATATTCAAATGAAATCAAGCTAATCAAGAATTAGATTTCGAGGATTACTTGGGTCTATGAATCCCGTCAACCATTCGTGTGTTAACCATCTTGAAGTAGAACTCATCTGGATTTTTAGAAGCTGCCTTATCTCTTAGTCTCTGATAGATGAAACATATGAGACCCCAAATCCACAAATAACACACGGAGAAAGCAAATGTTTCTCACCCTTAGAGTATCTTCCTTCTGGTGGAATGCCCGCGCTCGCAGGACATAATCCTTGTGCTTCTCGAGAAGCCCAAACTTCTTTCTTTCTCGGCTGCCATATGCACAAGCGCATATTATCACAATCGTGAGCAAAGGCAAAAGGATAATAAAACAAAACAGGAGGAACAGAAGAAGAAAGTTCACATACGGCTGAGCTCGCTCTTTGTGAGTCCTTCGAGGGATGGCGTTCCTCAGAGACGACATGGTTGTTCGATTCCTCAGCACGAGATGAGAATTAATAGTAGGGCACAAACAGATAAGGACAGGTCGGGAGATAGGATCGGCACAAAATTAACCCTTGTTCAGTCTCCAATCTGAAATTTTGTTTGTGACTGAGATTTTCGTCTGTTCCGCAACTGCCGTGACGAGAATCGCGACTCGCGATTGGGCGACGGCGGCGGCGGACGGCGACGCACGACGACGGTACGTCGTTGCTGCAGCGGGAGCGAGGTCGTCGGCCGCGGAGAGGACGCTGTGAGCAGCGGAGATCCCGTGAGGAAGCCGCGATAGGAGTCGGCCGCGCTTCTAAGCGATTGATCGAGTTGGTCAAACACTAAAAACCCTGCCTTTTCCCCAAATTAGATTTTGAAGTCGGTCAACTCTAATTTGACCCTATTTAAACCCGATTCAATTTTGACCGGCCCATCGAGTCCAATTTCTGTGGCCCAATTTGGGAAGCCGATTCTTGACTGCCCAATTAAATACGGACTAATTGATCCAATTTATTACAGAATATATATATATATATATATATATATATATATATATATAGTTTTGTCTTATGATGGCAAAATTTTCATTAATAAAATGTTTGATTGTTTAATTCTTGAAATACTTAAATTTTCATTGTTATTTTTAGATAATTATCTGGCAATGAAAACACATAAGCATACAATTAAAATTATGAATTTTTTAATATAAAAATATAGTTTTTAGTTTCATCATGAAAGTAATATTTTATTGTGATGATTAAAGTTTTATATTTAATAATTATTATATATTTTTTATTAAATATTTTTTGGTAAAAAATAATGAATATCATCTCTGATTTATATACCTAAGTTTTTATATGATTCAAATCTAAAATATTAGTATGGTAGTGATATATCAAATTTACTTATCAACTATTAAGGTTCAAAGCCTCATTCGATGTATCCGATCTGATCGTCCGATTGTCGAATCCCCTGATTGGGCCGGTCAACTAACAAAGTCAAGTTATAGGTCAACGCTCACCAAGAAAATTTGACTAATTCCTTGTTAGTAAACTATATACTGTAATAGTTGGCATACTTCAAACTACCAACTACAATTGTCGGATAAATCGTTTCAGTGCATTGGATTTTGGTTTATATCCAAAGGATTTGATGATATCAACCCACGCCGACAGAACAGATGATAGATACTATCAACATAAAAGTCAAAGGAACTACTATCAATGATATCATCCGTATTGACTAATTATCCTTATCGCGGCGGAAAGAAGCGAATACGTTACGTGTGATTTATTTTCTCTTATGACTGAGCAAATCGAATTCCCAGTAACCAACGAAACCATCTTTTAGTGCTCGAAGAACACATCAGAACACAGAAAGGTCGTGCAATCGTTGCTTGGAGAACTTATGACATGCATACGTACGTACGTACGTGTCTTATTCAGAGAGTTCAATGCGCACTAGCAGCCGCCGGAAATGAACTGCCGCACCTCAGCAAACAGGGTCTCCGCGGTCGCCGGATCGAAGAGCTCCACGGCGTGGAACCCTCCCTCGTCAAATTGCACCACGACGCTCGCCCCTTCTCTCTCCAGCATCTTCGCAAACTCCCGCTGTCGATCCACCAGTGGATCCCCCTCGAAGCCTTTCACCAGGCACTTCGGCAGGTGCCTCAGTTCCGGCGGGACTGCCACCGCAGGGTTGCAGAACTCGTGGTCTCTATCCGCCCCCTTGGGCAGGGCCAGGTGCCACAGCATGTCGTTGGCGCGGAGAGGGAGTATGATGTCCTCCTCGGATCTCGTCTCCGACGGAGTCCGCTCCACGCCGCCAAAGTAGGGCTGGTTGAGGATCAAACCGAGCAGCCGTAGGGGCAACAGCTCCAGAGCCGTGGCGAGCAGCCCGGCATGGTAGGCCATGTTAGCTCCGGCGCTGCTGCCCATCAGAAAGCAGCGGGAGAAATCCCCATGGCCTGTCACCCACGGGTCTCCCCCCGTCGGGTCTCGAGCCTGAGATTGGACCCAAAGCACCGTCTCCACGGCATCCTCGTACGCCGCGGGGAGGCGGTGCTCCGGGGCGAGCCGGTACTCGAGCGAGATGACCAGAGCGGAGACTGCGCGGGTCATCGCCTCGCAGGAGTTGTGGTAGAAGGCGGTGGCGGCGCTGAAGATGACAAAGCCGCCGCCGTGGAAGTAGATAACTACAGGGAGCTTTCTGGTGGGAGGAAGGGGATTGGGGCGGTAGATCCGTAGCCAGGTGTTCTTGGTGGGATTGAGAGGGACGTCTTTGGAGATCACAGGCGCGTCGGATTGTTCGCCGGAGGGCGGAGCGAGCGGGCTGACGGGACGGGTCACGGTGCCGTCTGGGTGTTCGACGATTTGGAGAAAGAAGCTGGTGCTATTCGATGATGCGTTCTCGGCGCACACGTGCCCCATGGTGGCCTCTCAGTTTCTTGCTGTCGCTCTGGCTGTTTCCAAGGGAGACGGAAGATACTTCTAGTGCAAGAGGCTATTCTCGCTCTGGTCAACACCGTCCCGGCAACGCCATCGTGCAATGGCCGCCTCCCGCTCTACCCCGACTCACCGCTTTGATCACGAATTGCATGTGACACCGACGCCGTGGGCGTGGGTCCTCGTGTCGGTAGTTAATTCACGAGTTTGGCAGCGGATGACGCACGCCACTTAACTCTCTCTCTCTCTCTCGCTCTGCTTTGATCACGAATTGCATGTGACACCGACGCCGTGGGCGTGGGTCCTCGTGTCGGTAGTTAATTCACGAGTTTGGCAGCGGATGACGCACGCCACTTAACTCTCT